TTAAGCTTTACTAACAATCGTAGGACTCTCAGTCGTATGTAACCACATACTAGGCATCTCTTATTGCCTAAAAAGGCATCCCCTAACTCTCATTCATTGGTAGCCTTTCTTTATTAGGTAGCCATTGGTAGCCTCTCTATTGAACAGGTAGCCCAGTAAACAGTAGCTATTGACTAGTAGCACCAAAAGGCGCCTTTCTCAGTGTTACCCTGTGCTAACAGTCCTATTTAATCGGCAGCCTTACTAATGTACTCTTACTTAGTTCAATTTGGCTGGCCCCCTTTAGGCCCCAAGGGGCCCCTCAGACCACGGTGCCGTTTATCCTTCGACCGAAGGGGGTTTAGTTTATTGGCCATTCTTGCTCTTCTGGGTTTACTGTGGAATTTGCCTCATGGGTTATTGCTTACGTGCTGTTTCTAACTAACAGCACCTTCTTAGTCTTATCCTCTCCCCTCGAAACCAATCAGCAAAAGGAATGTCTCAAACGAGAGCCTTGGTAGCTTTCTAAAGAGTAGAGGGAATCGATTCAATGGGTTAAATTGAACCGGTGATTACTGGTCATACTCCTCTTGATTGACAAGTATCCTATGTGAATTGGATTCATGGTTGCTCGCTGGCTTTATTCAACCAATGCTAAGGATATCGGGACTCTATATCTTATATTCGCTCTGTTTGCAGGTATGATTGGGACAGCCTTTTCTATGGCCATTCGGCTAGAGTTAGCAGGGGCAGGGATACAATTCCTTCAGGGGGAACATCAGTTATACAACGTAATTGTTACGGCCCATGCCTTCCTAATGATATTCTTCCTTGTAATGCCGGCGTTAATCGGGGGCTTCGGAAACCTGTTTGTTCCGATTCTAATCGGGGCTCCAGACATGGCAGCCCATTCTTAAGAAGTCTACCCTTATATTCAGGTTTACTCCTAATGGCCTACTCTTCCGACCCATTAAACGGCTCTTTCCTGAGAAGCTGGGACAAAAGTAGATGAGGCTCCTTAGAGGGAGAGTTAGGTTACTACTTACCCGGGCTTTTCGAGGGTGATGGGCATATTTTGCTGCGTCTTCAGGCTCTTTCCCGCCCCTGTATCACTTGTCACTTGTCTGACCTCCCACTAGCAGAGAACAGGCGTATATTCTCTAGGGATGCCCATGTCTAAAGGTTTCCTGCTGATTAGCCGGTAATGATTATATGCC